GCCTTGAACTCACTATGTAGCACAGGCTGGCCTTGAACTTGTGGCGATCCTCCAGCCTCAGCCTCCCATGTGCTGGGATTATAGGTGTGCACCACCATCCCCAGCCATACACACTGTTTAAATGTTTGAATTAATCTAATTCTCTAAATACTCATACAAAGAGGAGGCTTTCAGGATCTCTTTCTAATAATGTCCCCTGTGCACTAAAGTCTCCCACGTTTTTATCTCCAGCCCAAACCTCTTCTCTGAGCAGAAATGTCCAGCAGTCCACTGGCTTCTCTGCTAGAGGTCCAATAGCATCTTAATCTTCACATGTCTGAGAACAGTCTCCCCAGACCTGCACCTCCCTCAGGCTTCCCTGTCCCATCCACAGCAACTTCATTCTCCCAGCTACTCGGGCTAAAAATTTTAAAGTCATCCCTATCCCTCCCCACTCCTTACCCCCTAACCTGTCTCTCACTCCCACATCCAGTCTTTCTGCAGATCTTGTTGATCCTAACTCGAGCATGAATCCTTGGTCCCACCACTTCTCCCCCTACTGCTGCCAGAGCTGTTCCAGGCCCCTGCTGTTTCTTGCCCAAAAGACTGCAGTGGCCCCTGGGCTCCCCACTTCTGCCCCTTCAAATATAAAGTCAGACCAAGTCCTTCCTCTGCTCACATCTGCCTTCCTTTCCCTGGAATCAAAGTCACAGTCTTGGCAATGGCAGACAGGTCCCTATATGATCTAGTCCCCCCCACCCCAGCCACTTGTCAGGCCTGTTCTTCCTCACTCTACTCCAGCCACATGGACTGCTTTGCCAGTCTTCCCACGTTCCAAGAGCCCATTAGCCTCAGAATTCTTGCACTTGCCTGGAATACTATCTGCCCAGGTTCCATGTAATTTTCTCCTTCAAATTTCTGCTCAAATCTCACCTTGTCAGGAGGACTCACCTTAACCACCCACTAAAATTAGCCCTCATCCCTTCCCAACCCTAGTACTGTCTATCCTCTTCCTTTTGTTGTTTATAGCATGAGCGAGTGAATTATTAATTAATTAATTAGTTGGAGACAAGGTCTCATTATGTGGTCCATACTGGTCTGAAATCACTATGTAGCCCAAGCTGGTCTCAAATTTCTTGATCCTCCTGGCCCAGCCTTTGGAGTGATGAGTTTATAGTTGTATACCATCATGCCCAGCACATATGTATACCTGTATAAAGGTTTTTATCCATATATTTTGCCTTTCAGTTCATTGTCTTTCTCCTCTCCTCTCCCTTCCCAGGACCCCACTGGAATATCAACTCCCCAAAGACAGGGATGTTTCTTTCTTTACCTTACTAACATGTCCCCATTGCTTAGAATACTGTAGGTGCCCCATAAACTTCTTTTGAATACTATAAAATCTTCATCTTACAGAAGAGGAAACTGAGACATCAAGAGGTTAAGTAAATTTGCCCACGAAAATATACTATGAAGTAGTTGGGCTAGTGGGTGACAAGGCCAGAATGTAGGCAGTGACAGTGCAGAGGACTGGAAAGTAGAGACTGGTTGAAGACAAGAACTCTGTGGATGGCTTTTGCTGACTTGGCCCAGAGTTCATGAGCTGACTGCTGTACCAGGGGGTGACTTTGATATCGTGGGAGCTATCAAGGGTGACATGAAGGTTAAATGAGTTGAGAATCGAAAACACATTGTATATATTATGAGAAAAGACATTGGAAACACTGTTCCATGAATTTTTAATTCTTAGCTGTTTTTCTGTCCTTCCTCACCCAGGGAGCTGAGGCATCTGTTGCTTCTGGGGGACACAGATCCAGCAGTGGACAAGCCACCTGTTCTCAGCTTTGTCTTTCTGAATGGATATTTTGGAAGAGTAGATCAGACACAACAGAGCTAGCATCCAGAATTTCAGTTAAAAGACCTACACAAGTGGGAGGGATAAGGGGGTTTTCTGGACCACCGAAACCTCCTTTTAAATGTCAAGATGTGGAGTCTGACCAAGTTGGAGCATGGGCTTTTTTGCCAAAAGCCCTGGAGGGAGGGACCGGGTGCAGATTTGGGCATGTACCAGAATATCCTGGTGGGCTTATTGTGACCTGAATGGAGATTGGGCTCCAGCCATGAGGATTTGGTTCAATTGCTCTGCAGGTGAGTCCAAGAATCTGCATGTCTAACCAATTCCCAGCTGATGCTGACCTTGGATTGCCAGTGTAGGCAATGCTTAGTCATGCAGGGCAGCCTCACAGAGGGAGGGTGAAGTGTCAAGGGGTTTCCAGGAGCCCAGCAACACTGTGGAGAAGAAGAGAGCAGGGGCCAGTGCAGAGTGGGTAGAGGTTGTGACCAGGAGCACAGCCATGGGCACAGGAGGTCAAGGGGTCTGGCCAGGAGACAGGTGGGCTGTGTGCACCAGTTGCAGCTATAGATGATAGGCATCAAAAGAGGAGACAAGCTTGGGCACCTCTAGACCCAGAGACCCCTTCCTCAGCTTCCACTCTTCAGGTGGAACCTCAGAGAAAGGGCAGAGTGCAGTGGGAAACTCTCCAAAATCAAGCCCAAGTGAGCCTGGAATGGCATGCTTTAGAATTTCCTGCTGGGAAGTCATTGATGAGCCCCTCTGTGCCTGTTGGACATGGGGAAGTGGCCCCTCAGCTGCAGTGTGGTTAAGAAACATGCCACAGAGTCATTTCCTTGAAATGCAGCCCTGAGCCTCAGTCCCCTCTAACACCAATGGAGGATGCAAATGGCACCGTCTTACAGGACTGAAGTGGCTAAGGGAGGGGGAGGATGCAGCCGAGGGTGTAGCCCGTGCCTGGCCTAGAGCAGACATTCCACACAAGGCATTTATTGCTATTAGAGTGGTGTTTTTCTTTCAAACTTGCTTTCCCTCCTTCAGTTTTCCCTTCTCTCTTCCTTCTTTCCTCAGATACTTACTGCCACATACTATGCCCCTGACACAGGTTTTGTCCTCTTGGAACCCTCATCTTTGAAGTCAAGAAGCAATTACAGAGTGTGGCCTCTGCTGGGCTGGGCTGGGCTCAGAGTGGGCTTTCTGGGAGAGGGAGTTCTCATTTGGCTGGGGATTTAGCTCAGTGGTTTCACCGCCTGCTGCTCAAGTGCAAGGACCCAAGTTCGATCCCCGGTACCAAAAAAACCCCCAAAAAACCCCCTCATTTAGCTGCCCTGTAGACGCTGACAACACATCAAAAAAAAAAAAAAAAGAAGAAGAAGCTTTTATGAGAATAATAACTTTAGGAAAGGAAAAGAGTAAAAATTATGAAATCTCTCCCTTTGCAAACATTCAGAAATATAATTCTATTATGCAGTTTATAATGGGAGCATATGATTAACTTTAGAGTCAGATATACACTGTGGTTTAACAAATAGTGTGACCTTGGACTACTTACTTAACCTCTCTGGACCTGGGTTTTCCTTATCTATAAAGTGGAACTAAAGATAGCTACTTATATGTGGCTTAGTGGTAAGAATTAAAAGAGGCAGATTATACCCTGTCTTCCCCACCAGCCAGGAGCCCCTTGAGGACAGGGTATCCACTTTGGAAAAGAGTTGGGCATTGTTAGTAAAGCTGAGGAGCACCTGCCTTATAATTTAATCACGTGCCTTCTGCTGTTTACTTTAGAGAAGCTCTTTCACTGAGAAGGATATACAGAAATGTTCATAGCCAAAAACTGGAATGCCAACCAGATCCAGTGGAGCATGCCTGTATTTCCAGTTACTCAGGAGGCTGAGGTGGGAGGATCCCCTTGAGTTCAGGAGTCTAAGTCCAGCCTGGGGAACATAGTGAGACTCCATCTCAAAACAGCAACAAAATAACCCTGGAATGTCTCAAGTATATGCCAGCAGCAAAATGTACAGACAAGTGTAGGAATGTTGTACAGTGGAACATTACATAGCAGTGAAAATGAAAGACTATGGAAAATGACATCCTCAAGTCCCTGGATCCAAGAAGAGAGGCCTCAGATGAAGAAGAGAAGGAAAGGTACATCCATCCTGGTGAAGTACTGAATAACCTTTGGAGTGTGACTTCAGGGTCTGTGAATTTTCCTTTCTGGGCATCACAGAATGATTGGAAAGAAAGTCCCTGAACTGAGGGTCTAGCCTCTGCCTTGCTCTGTTTGACTGCTGGCTCCTGCTACATGTAGAACCATAGCTCGTGTCAGTAAATCCACAAAAGCTGCTGTGCTCAGGAACTCGGCAACACTAAGATAGGAGATCTATTCCATGGGCAGTTTTCTTCAATGCATGGGGAGCTTCCCCAGGTAGGTCTCCCACAGCACCCAGCCCAGGTATTATTCCACCGACAGCCTCCACACAGCTCACACCTCTCGACAGCAGCCTTGCTGTTCTGGATTCCTAATCCTGGTTCTGGGGAGTGTAGGGTGAAAGTTGGGAACCAGGGAGCAGCTGGAAGTGCTCTTGGCTTTGGAAACCAGACTCTCACCAGCTGTGGGATGCAGGCAGACCTTTTCCCTTCCCCAAGCCCCAGGTTCCTTTCCATACAATGGAGGAGTAATCACTCCTTCTCATACGGCAGCTACGAGGGATGAAAAGAGATGATGTCCACAGAGTGGACAACTCAGGCAGAGGCTCAGGAAAGGGTCCTCCTCTTTCCTTCCCCAGACTGGAGAGGATAGATAGTGGCAGCTTCCTGGTCAGAGCCACTGAGGAGGCTCAGAACTTGGCAGTTTAATCTCCTCATTGTCAGATCTCCTCCTCCCTTTATCCACTCTCTTTTCTCCACCTTATCTCTGCTTTCCTGCCCCTTCATTTGTCCTCCAGCCTGCCCATCCCACCTGCTCTAGCTTGGTAACTGCTGAGGACATTCTTCTGTCCTTCTGGGGCCCTGCTCAACCAGCAGGAAGCTGCCGGAGTCCTCTGCTGAGTGCTCCCAGGGCTTGGTGCAGGGTGACGAACTTCCTTACTGTGGGCTTGATGCCCACAGCAACCCCGGGCAAGGTGACCCAAGCCCCACCTCCCAGCGGCCTGTCAGGACGGTACTTGGGCTGACTTGAGCTGTGCATTCCTTCTGCTGTGGTCCCTCCCCTGCCTGTCAGTGCCAGTTCACTCCAGTTCTTCATCAGAAGGAGGACCTAAAGAGCCTAGGTTCTGGATGGTGCTCGATGAGTGAATGTGAATACACCGAGTCTTCCTGTTCTATTAGATTCTGTGCAGTTGGGAGTCGCTTCAGTTAGATCCAAACTCCCTCACACCATCTGTAGAATTAAATCAATCACAGAACAAAAGCTTCTTGAACAAGGGGAAGGCCAGATGCCCTTGAGTAGGACTTTGTAGTTACATCACCAGCACTGACTCTATCTTTCTAGCCCTCTGCAAATGGAACTATAACAATTTACCAGGGTCGCTATGCTTGGAGGAAAAGAGAAAAGCCAGACCTCTGGGGTAGTTTAACCCTGAGTTTAACACTAGTCCCTGAAGAGATAACATTGTTATGGTCCACAAATCACTGTGAGGGAGCCTGGCCTTTTTTCACCTCACAGACCCCATGCTGGCCTACTACCTTGGTGCCATCATATGGCTACGACTAAGAATAAAACTAAGATCTGGTAGGATGCACTTATGCTGGAGATAGGAGATAAACCCCACAGAGATTCAGGTACTGGTACCTTCGTGATGTATCAAAGGTCCAGAGTTCTGGGACAAGTCCTGTTATCTCATCCAAAATGGGAGGCAAATTGCTGTACTCCACGCCCCCTACTGCCAAGAAAGAAGTATGGCACTTCATGGGCCTATGGAATTTGGGGCACTGTGTTTTATATCTGGGTGTGATATTCCTACCCATTTACCAAGTTACTCATGAGGGTCCTACTTGGAGTGGGGCCTAGAGAAAGAGAAGTTTTCAGGTGGTGCAGGCTGCAGCCACTTGGGCCTTTTGACCTAGCAGGTGCAAGTGCTCAGTGAGATAGGTATGTTAGGGTGGCAAGGCTCAGAGAGAAGAATCGGAGAGAAGGCCTTTGGGTGGTTTATCTTTAAAAATTGATATAAAGTAATACAGCTGTTATGGAGAATCTATGAAGGGCCCTAAAAAATCTAAAAATACACTACTGAGTCTGCTATCCTGCTTCTGAGTTTATATCTGAAGGAAAAGAAAACAGCACATCAGAGAGGTGCCTCCACACCCATATGTATTGCAGCCCCAGTCACAATAGCTAAGCTATAGAATCAACCTATTCTGTTGATTGAATACAGATGACTGAATACAGAAAATGTGGTATACATTCACAATGAACTATTATTCCACCATAAAAGAATGATGTCTTATCATCTGCAGCAAAATGGATGGAACCAGACAAAGTTATATTAAATGGAGTTGGTCTGACACAGGAAAACAAATACCACATATTCTCTCTCCTATGTGGCAGTTAAAAAGTTGAACTGGAAATAGAATAGTGAAAACTAGAAGCTGGGAAGGAGACAGCAGGAAGTTAGATAACAGTTTCCAAAATAGTAAATTCTAGTGTTCTACAGAACAGTGGGGTGACTGGAGTTCACAGTAACCAGTTGTCTATTTTATGAATAACTAAAAGACAGGAGCATGGAGACCCCAAACAAAAAGTAACAGTAAAGAGGTACAAACATCAATTTCCCTGATTTCATCAGTACATATTATACACATGTATTGAAATATCATACTTTACCCTATAAATATGTAGAATTATCACTTGTTAATAAAAAAATTTTTAAATGTTAAAGGAGATGGAAATGCTGATTTGATCATTACATATTTATACATATTTCAAACTACAAACTATCACCTATAAATATGTATAAGGAAGATAATAATAATAAAAACCAAACAGCTTTTTTGTGGTACTATATTCCCATGTAATAAACTCTGTATATTTAAATTATAGAATTTTCTAAGTTTTGATGCATGTGTATACCTGTAAAACATCACTGCATTCAAGATGATGAAAATATCCATCACTTCTGAAAGTTTTCTCCAACTTCTTTGTAATCCTTTTCTCTAGCCTCCCTCCCACATTCGTATGTAACTATTGATCTTTCCCTATTTGAGAATTTTATGTAAGTGAAATCATATAGTGTATATACTCTCTGGCTTCTTTCACTAAGCATAATTATACTGACATTTACTCATCTTGTTGCATCTATCAAGAGTTATTCTTTTTATTGCTGAATACTGTTCATTGTATAGGTATACCACAGAATGTTTATCCGTTCATCTGTTGCTAAACAATTGGCTTTCCAGCTTTCAGTTATTCTAAATAAGACTGCCATGAACATTCATGTACGTAGCATTGTATGGACATACGGTTTTGCTTCTCTCCAGTAAACTCCTAGAATTGGAATGACAAGGTCATTTGGTAAGTATATGTTTAAGTTTTAAAGAAATTACAACACTGTTCTGCTGAACAGTGGTTGTACCATTTCACATCACTACCAGCAGTGTGCAAGAGTTCTAGTTTCTATCTTCCTTGTCAACACTTGCTATAGTCAGTCTTTTTACTTTAACCACTCTAATATGTGGAAGCATCTCATTGTGGCTTTAACGTTCACCTACCTAACCACCAATGACTAATAAGTGGAACATCTTTTCATGTGTTTATTTGCCATCCATATATCTTCTTTGGTAGTGTTTCTGTTCAAATATTTTGCCCATTTTTAAATTGAGTTATGTATTTTCCAGTTACTGAGTTTTGAGAGTTCTTTATATTCTAGATACAAGTCCTTTATTGGCTATATCATTTGCAAATATTTTTCCAGTCTGAAGATTATCTTTCATTCTCTCAACAGAATTTTTTTTTTGGTACAGAGGATAAAACTTAGGATCTTGTGCTTGCGAGGCAGGCAGTGAAACCACTGAGCTAAATTCCCGGCCCTCTTAACAGAATTTTTAATAGACATTTTAAACTTTTATAAAGTCCATTTTATCAATTATTTTCCAAGGACTATGTTCTTACGGTGTTGTATCTAGGAAACTTTTGCTCATTCCAGGGCTGCATATATTTTCTCTCATATCTCTTCTGAAAGTTATATGGATTAAGGTTTTACATTTAGGTCTATAAATCCGTTCTGAGTTAATTTTCATATGTGACACAATGAGTAGGTTGAGCTTGGGAATTGAACCCAGGGCCTCGTGCATGTTAGACAAGTGCTCTTATCACTAAGCTACCATTCGATTGAACTTTTTAAAATTAAGAATAATTTTTTTGTTCAATTCTAACACATGGATACACAAT